TGATATGGAGACTGTTGATGGTTCACCTTTATCATCAGGACCGGTTACTCATGAAACGGTTCCTCTCGTACTCCAATTTGAGGCTGACCATTATGAGACCATCAGCTTTCAGCTGATTACACCACCTGAATTTCCTGTCATCCTGGGCATTTCTTGGTTTTCTACCCATAATCCCTCCATCAACTGGGGAGCACGGACTGTAAATTTTACACCCCCCCCCCCCATGCGAGGAACATTGTAGGAAACCATGCTGTACAAGTTCTCTACCAATCAGGAAATCACAAGTTGATGTGGTAACTACACAGTTCTATGACAACCTGCCTCCACAATACCATGAGTTTCGAGACGTCTGTGATCAAAAGAATGCCGATCAATTACCCCCTCATCGTCCATACAACTGTCCCATTGAACTGCTTCCATAAGCAGAAATACCATTCGGCCAGCTTTTCAATTTATCAGAAGTGGCTTGATGAGAATTTGGAGAAGGGCTTTATCAGACCTTCAAGATCTCCTGCAGGGACAGCCCTGTTCTTTGTTGAGAAAACGGACTCCACCTTGCGTCCATGCATTGATTTCAGGGACTTGAATAAAATCGCTAATAAAAACCGTTAACCACTCCCTTTATTCCCTGAAATGTTGGAAAGATTCCGCTCTGCCAAATTTTTTACAAAACTGGACTTAAGGGGGGCATATAACCTCATACGCATTTGTCAAGAAGACGAATGGAAAACTGCCTTTAGAACCAGATATGGACACTCTGAGTCCCTAGTTATGCCTTTTGGCCTATGCAATGCTCCCACGACTTTTCAACACTTCATCAATAATGTTTTTCAAGATCTGTTGGACCAGTTTGTTATTGCATATCTGGATGATATTCTCATCTTTTCGGACAACCTGGAGGAGCATTGCAAGCATGTCTGCATTGTATTCAAAAGGTTAAGGATGAACCGACTTTACATCAAACTGGAGAAATGTGAGTTTGAACAAACCTAGATCCAGTTCTTGGGATATATTATTTCTTCAGAAGGAGTGAGCATGGATCCCAAAAAGATCAAGACAGTGGTGGATTAGCCTGCCCCTGGAAACTGTAAGGAAATACAATGATTTGTTGGATTTGCCAACTTTTATAGGAAATTCATAAGAAACTTCTCTAAGGTAATAGCACCAATTACACAAGCTGACAAAGAAAGGAGTGCTCTTTGTATGGTCAACTGAACTGCAGACTGCTTTTAGTAAGCTAAAGACTCTTTTCACTTCTGCACCAATATTGGTACATCCAGATCCTGAGCTACCTTTTATTGTAGAAGTAGATGCCTCAGTCTCTGCCGTGGGAGCTATCCTTTCTCAGCGAAGAGGAGAAAAAATGCAGCTTCATCTCTGTACATATTTTTCTCGCTTGAGGTCATCAGCTGAAAAGAATTATGACATTGGGAATAAGCGGTTGCTGGCAATTAAGGAAGTTTTTTTCTGAATGGAGGCATCTGTTGGAAGGGGCTAAGCATCCTGTGACTGTCTTCACTGATCATAAAAATCTAGAATTTATCCATTCTGCCAAGAGATTGTCTTCTAGACAAGCACATTGGTCACTGTTCTTTTCCAGGTTTAATTTTATTATCTCATATCGACCTGGGTCAAGAAATGGTAAGGTTGATGCCTTATCACGGAGGCCCCCACCGCCACCTTTAGACCGGGAGGAGCACACTCTGAGACAAGGAGAGAGCTTCGAGAAGAGGCCACGCTCCTCCTTCCACACAGTACAATAGCCCTTCTGTGATCCAGTTACCAGCCCACCAGACCCAGAGAGGGAAGCACCTGTAATTCAGGAATCTTCACCCACCTATCCCTTAAAGGGGACCTCTGGCCTACTGGATACATCCATACCCACTGAAGGCTACCTATCCATACCAGATCGAAGGAGAACCCACCCTGAGTTCCAGTCCGGACCTAGACCAGTGAAGTGGACCCGCATGATTTATACACTGCGTAATTCTATTTCGCTTCTGGTTAGTGCGCAATTTTTACCTTACTGCAGGGAGAACCACCACTGGACTGGAAGCTGCATATCACTATTTATAAAAACTGTCACAGGCTTTTTTCTTATCATTGGGAACATTTATATTATATGATACCATTATTTATTGATTAGCGCTGCACATATTTATTTTTATACAATTGTGACAAGGCTTTTGTTTGGTTTCCTTGGTTGTTCAGCTGCCTACTTTGCAAGAGCGCTCACTTTTATTGCTATTGTATTCTCTTATCACGGATGTTGTCAGGCCTGTCCAGGAAAACAACTCTGAATGTACAATCCTGCCTCAAAAGAACTTTCTAGGTGCCACAGGTTCTAAGGCATTCTTGAGTCTTCTCAAAGAGGGGGTATGAGAATGACCCACTTCTCAATCATCCAGCTAAGGACATTAACCTGGCTTATAAGAATGGCTTTTGGATTCAAGGGCATCATCTCTACATACCTGAATCTGCTCGGGCTGAAGCTCTCAGGTTGGTTCATAATTCCAAACTTGCTGGGCATTTTGGGGTTTCTGAGACTGAAGAACTTTTATCACGTTCCTTTTGGTGGCCTGGTTACAAGAAAGATGCCAAACTCTCTGTGGCCTCATGCCTGACCTATGCACGTAGTAAGACTCCCAGAGCTTCTCCTTTGGGGTTTCTCCAGCCAATCCCTATTCCATCAAGACCATGGGGGTCAATTTCAATGGATTTGGTGGTTGATTCACCTCCCTCAAAAGGAATGACCACTATCTTGGTAGTTATCGACCAGCTCACAAAGATGGCCCATTTTGTTCCAGTTAAGGGGGTGCCCACTGCTGAACAAACTGCAGAACTGATGGTTCGAGAAGTCTTTAAACTGCATGGAATCCCTGATGATGTGGTGTCTGACAGAGAAGTGCAGTTTACTTCAAAATTCTGGAAAAGCTTTTGCTCAGCATTAGGTGTTACAATCAATCTGTCCTCTGCTTTTCATCCCCAGTCTAATGGTCAGACTGAGAGAACCAATCAAACAATGGAGCAATATCTTTGATGCTTTATCACTTATCTTCAGGATGACTGGGTGGACTGTCTTCCCACAGCAGAGTTTCCATACAACAATTCTAAACATAGTTCTACTTCTCAAAGTCCCCTTTATTTAAACACCAGTTATCATCCAGTTTTTATTCCTGATCTCCCTATCACAACTCCAATTACTGCTGTTACCAGAAGACTAACTACATTGCAGGAGATTCAGGAGAAATTGATTGAGACTTTGAGGGACGCTCAGGAATGTTAAAAAAAGGCTGCTGACAGACATCGGAGATCACTTCCTACCGTTCATGTGGGGGACAAAGTTTGATTATCAACAAAATATTTGAAGGTTCATGTTCCATCTCTTAAGTTGGGCCAAAAGTTTGTGGGTCCTTTTCAGATTTCTGCTCAAATCAACTTGGTTACCTTTCGTTTAAAATTTCCAGACAGTTTGAAGATTCACCCTGATTTTCACATATCACTACTCAAACCGTTTCATGAAAATCCTTTGTCTGGAAGAATTCTTCCACCTCCTCCACCCGTTGAGGTACAGGGTGAAAAGGAATTTATGGTGGAGAAAATTCTTGATTCCAGGATCTTTAGGAACAAATTACAATATCTGGTTCAATGGGAAGGATATGGGCCAGAAGAAATTTCTTGGGAGCCTGAGGAGAATGTTCATGCCCCTAGATTAACAAGAGAATTGCTCACAAACCTGGCCCTAAGACGTCCAGTGGACATCCTGGGAGGAGGGGAGTACTGTCAGGGCCTGGCCTTGAACCTGGGGCCTCTACTGTGTCTGGCAGTAACTTTTCTCACTGAGCTATCTGGGATACTGGACAACACTCTGCCTGATCTATTGAACAATCCTGCCTTGGTCCTTGTTTTCTGCTGAACCTTGAACTCCTTGCTCCTCCCATGAACTTCTTCATTTAAGCCATGTCTCTGCACTTCCTGTTTGCCAGATTATTGTGCCTTCTCCAGCCAGTATCTCACTCTTGTCTCGCCTGCTGCCGGCCATACCTTCGCTACCGACCTTTGGCTTGTTCCTTGACTATAATTCTGCCTCCTCCCAACCTGCTACCACTTGTTACCGACCCTTGGCTTGTTTACTGACTAAGCTTCTGCTAGATCCCTACCTGCCATATCAGTTACTGGATCCTGGCTTGCTCACTTCCTGATGGGGCGATCCTGAGAACTGTGACCTGGTACTAACACGCAGCAAAACTCATGCCCACCATCAGGAGCTCTGGTGAATACCAGTTTAGTGCTTAAATCCCACACCTCAGGTAAGCCTGCGTCATCTCCCAGGGTGACCTGCTTGTTTACCTATCCTGTTGGTTGGTCTGCTGCTATAGCTACTGGTCTTTAAGCCTGACCTCTGACTGTGACACCTAAGCAATGCAAACCTTAAACCGTAATATCATCAGTACATCTAATGAACAGCTAACAATAACCTAATTAAACATTGATCTAATTAACAGTAAGCTAATCAACAGCCAGACACCCAGACCAGGGAGCCCACCCCAAACTGTCTGGCAACAAGTCCACAACCCTGGATAAACAAAGTATATAACACGTCTTTCAGATGTTTGGCTTTCACTTGTGTAATCTGTCCACTAGAAAAGTCATCATAAGACAAAACGCATACAGTGTTCAGTCTAAAAAAGTGGAATTCATTTATCTTCTTGAGGAAGATTGTTGATAAATATTTCTGTCTTAAGTGGAGAAGCTTCTACAACCCAGTCTGCAGGAGGGTCACCATATTTCCTCTGACCATTAACCTGTACAAGATTAATATTACACCTTTCCATCCACTGCAGAAGGGAAGCTTTATTGTCTTTATTCAGAGAATTAATCCAAGCCTCGCTGTCAGCATTCATCACCTTGTTGTCCGTCCTTAGAGAATTATATGATTGGCTGTCACAGCGGTCACATGATCGGGAGCATTCTGGTACACTTTCGTTACTGTGCTGGGAGTGTGCTCGTAGCACAGTAAACTGTTAACATATAGTCAGGGGCGGACTGACAACTCATGGGGCCCCCGGGCAATAGGGGATCATGGGGCCCCTGTGTCCTTGCCCACACTCAAACCACACCCAAAAAAGCCTATGAAAGCTACCAGGGGCATCTCATGAGGCCCCTTACTGACCCCGGGCCGTCGGGCAGTGCCCAGGTTTTTGAATGTCAGTCCACCCCTGAATATAGTTTGCAGTTAAAGCCCAGCCACCGAGAGGCTGCATATATGCCACCAGCCAGCGTAAAATGGGTTAACGCTTGCCGAACACTACTAAAACCAATCCTAGGACAGTTCGGCTTATTTCTGCTGACTATGATATAACCCCTGGTTCACATATCTGCATTCCTGCGGTCCGCATTTTGCGCAGGCATGAGAGCCCATTCATTTGAATGGACTCCCGTGCCCCGGGACACGCAGTCCCTTCACTTCTTCTGAAAACGCAGTCCGCACGGGAACCTTGGTTCCCAGTACGGTTGCGATTTCCAGTGCAGGCGGCGTGCCATTAGAATTAATGGCACCCGCTCGTGGGTCCGCATTCTTCTGTGTGGGTGGTACGCTGTATGGATTTTTGTGCGGATCTGCGGCCGCACCACCTGCACATATCTGAACCTAGCCTAAAGGTTTCCTTTCCAGTATTTGCAGCAGAGGAACAATATGACTGACAACCACTCAGGTGTTTACTTTAATTTTTTAACCCATATTGGAAAAATACTGCAATCTGTTTGAAATTCACAGATTGTTACCTTTCTGCCTGTTTCTATAGATAAGCCCCACTGTGTGATTTCCATGAAAGACATAGGGGATTCACAAGGAAGAGCTTTTGCGTGTCCCTGGTCATGTGGCTCAGTACACACATGCACTAAGTGGATCATACACTTCACCTGCACTGTAGCTTATAAATATCAGTATGACGCTGAATTACACTCACTAATATTTCTCCCAACAGGAATTTACACGTCTCCCCTTCACCATGAGGACATAGGATGACACTCTGCTTCCAGTGTGTTCAAGGTCCAAATACCTTTCACCTTCCATTGCACTCTCTTCTTCATCTGCCGTTCATTTCTGTAATTGCACACTAGAGACACATAACTGCGGTACAACACCGTGTTCCATGTTCACAGGACATTCCTGATTAGTAAAGAGCCATAATTAGATTGCTGTATGCTGAGATCAGGCTGCTTGTGTTTCTGCAGTCTGTTTACTTGGAATACAGACACGTGAGTCCATAGTTACTAATAATGTAAAGCAGTTTCCTGGGGCACCTGGCTGTTCCGTTAGAGCAGGAGTCTCCAAACTTTCTAAATAAAAGACCAGTTTAGTGTCCATCAGATTTTAATTGGAGTGCAAAATTCCCATGTGTCAGTGAGTGTAGACAACATCTCAGGCTTGGTGGTCAGTAGGATTAAAAAGTGCGTGGTCAGTAGGAGGAGGAATAGTGCCCCATCATTGGTATTAATGGGAGGATCAGTGCCCTATCATTGGTGTCAGTGGGAGGAATGAAACCCCATCACTGGTGTCAGTGGGAGGACTAGTGCCCCATCATTGGTGTCAGTGGGAGGACTAGTGCCCCATCATTGGTGTCAGTGGGAGGACTAGTGCCCCATCACTGGTGTCGGTGGGAGGATCGGTGCCTCATCATGGGTGTCAGTGGGGGTGACTAGTGACCCTACGCTGTGGCAGTGGAAGGAATAGTGCCCCATCATTGCATCATTGGTGTTAGTGGAAGTAAAAATGCCCCATCATTGGTGTCAGTGGAGGGAAAAATGCTCCAACATTGCTGTCAGTGGAAGGAATTGTGCCTCATATCAGTGTGGGTAACAGTGCTCCAAGGGCCCCATACAGGCAAGCAAAGGGCCGCGTTCAGTTTAGAGACCACTGCATTAGAGTAACTAAACTTGGACTGCAGAAAACCATGGGGAACACTTTGCATTATTCAACAACAGTTTTTTACAAGATTAGGGTAAAGTGAACTTGTAGCCAGACCTTGGACATTCATACTTCAATATTCTTTACAAGCAATAAACAGGGATTAAATCAAGCCCTTACTGACCTCTTTAGCAGCAGGCTCTATGGAGAAATTCATCCTCAAACTTTACAGCAGGAGTACAGCAAAGTGCTAATTTATTCACTATGCCCAGATGCAGGCACAAGCATTTTAAACTTAATTTCCTACAACACCCTGGGTTGCTGGACATGCCTAGAGAAGATAAATGTCTCTGCTTCCCCTACTCAAGTATCTGGGTGATCTACAGTCAAGTGAGGGGAGCTTCACTGTCAGAACCGGCATATGAACCAAAACAAAAACTGTAGTGAACTGGTGTATAATGGAATAGAGTCGAAGTAGGCATATGACATCAATTGTAAAGTCCAAAGTTCCTGTATCTAGCCATAAACAAAAACGTCTTACAGCAAAACAGATAGGAAGAGACTTGGGGGTGTTCAGTTTTGTTTTTTTGTTTTTTTAACAGGGGCAACATCCTGTGCACTGAGCCTCACTCCCTTAGCTTCCCAGCTGTGGTCCACAGTGACTGATTTATTGCTATAGCTGGCTGCTTTCAAATACTAGCTTTAGGGTGAGGCTGCGCTGTTGAAGCTGTCAATGGATCCAGGATCTTTCTTGTCTCCTCCACCTGTCAGTATGGGGCACCCAATGAGATGATGCTCCCATTCTATTGCAGTGGGTGGAATTTCCTATTTTACATGTACAGTTGCAAGAAAAAGTATGTGAACCCCTTGGGATTACGTGGAGTTTTGCATGAATTGGGCATAAAATGTGCTCTGAACGTCATCTAAGTCACAACAATAGAAGAACACAGTCTGCTGAACATAATACTACACAACCATTAGATGTTGCCATGGTTTAATTGCACATAACATGTAAACATTCACAGTGCAGGGAGGATATAGTATGTGAACCTTTAATAACTGGTTGACCCTCCTTTGGCAGCAATAACCTCAACCAAACGTTTCCTGTAGTTGCAGATCAGACCTGCACAACGATCTGGAGTAATTTTGGACCACTCCTCTTCACAAAACTGTTTCAGTGTAGCAATATTCTTGGGATGTCTGGTGTGAATCGCTCTTTTAAGGTCATGCCACAGCATTTCAATCGGGTTGAGGTCAGGACTCTGACTGGGCCACTCCAGAAGGCGTATTCTGTGCTGTTGCAGCCATTGTTTTGTTGAATTACTTGTATGCTTTGGGTCATTGTCCTGTTGCATCACCCATCCTCTGCGGAGCTTCAGTTGGCGGACAGACGGTCGTACGTTTTCCTGCAAAATGTCTTGATAAACTCTGGAATTCATTTTCCCATCAATGACAACAATCCGTCCAGGCCCTACGGCAGTAAAGCAGCCCCAAACCTTGATGCTCCCTCCGCCATGTTTTACAGTGGGGATGAGGTTTTCATCTGTCCACAGTATATTTTGCCAGTAGTGCTGTGGAACATCCAGGTGCTCTTTTGCAAACTTCAAACGTGCTGCAATATTCTTTTTGGACAGCGATGGCTTCCTCCGTGGTGTCCTCCCATGTACTCCATTCTTGTTTAATGTTTTCCTTATTGTAGATGTGTCAACAAAAATGTTAGCATGTGCCAGAGATTTCTGTAGGTCTTTAGCTGACACTCTGGGATTCTTCTTTACCTCATGCAGCATTCTGCACTGTGCTCTTGCAGTCATTTTTACAGGACGACCACGCCTAGGGAGAGTAGCAACAGTGCTAAACTTTCTCCATTTGTAGACAGTCTGTCTTACCGTGGACACATGAACATCAAGGCTTTTGGAGATACTTTTGTAACCCTTTCCAGCTTCATGCAAGTCAACAATTCTTGATCGTAGGTCTTCTGAGAGCTCTTTTCTGCGAGGCATGGTTCACATCAGACAGTGCTTCTTGAAACCAGTAAACCCAAAACAGGTGTGTCTTTTTTAAGGGCAGGACAGCTGTTAGCAACACATCCAATATCATCACACTGATTGGAGTCAAGGTTGGTTCACTCCTGGCTCCAATTAGCTCTGGGAGAAGTCATTAAGCTAGGGCCTCACATACTTTTTCCTCCCTGCACTGTGAATGTTTACATGTTATGTGCAATTAAACCATGGCAACATCTAATATTTGTGTAGTATTATGTTCAGCAGACTGTGTTCTTCTATTGTTGTGACTTAGATGACGTTCAGAGCACATTTTATGCCCAATTCATGCAAAACTCCGCATAATCCCAAGGGGTTCACATACTTTTTCTTGCAACTGTAAGTGGATGGGGTGTTTTTTAGATTAAATAATGTTATTAAACTGCTGACATTGCTCTGCGCTTTGCTTTTTTTTGTTTTCCCTGTTGAGAAGCGGCTATGTGGGTTGCCGGGCCAAAGCCTAATAGCATGCAAGTTCCCCAAAAGACCCAGACACTGTGGGGAGAATCTCCCCAATTGCTGCCAGAGTACTCCAGTCCAGCAGGTTAAACAACAGAAAATTAATTGATTCCCCCGTTCATACATTTGAGGTGGATGAGGGGATCCCTCCAGCAGAGCAGGGCCAGATTTCCCAATAGGCACTGTAGGCATGTGCCTACAAGTAGCCTTCCTAGAGGGCCACCCGTCTGTATGAGTTTTTTTTCTTTTTTTTTTAAGACCATGGGATGTCCATGTGCCTTCCTCTTTGGGCGACCACAAATACTGTAAATGGCCCCTCATCCCTTAAAGCGGTGTTATACCCTTTTTTAAAAGTTGCTTTCATCCATATGTCCATGAATACCTTGAATACCTTATTTTTATCTGTGTATGTGGCACTTCCGATCCGGCTGCCTAGGCGATGTCTTCATAAGGTGATTCCCTTGGACTCCTGGGATATCAGCATCATCTATCCCAGGAGTCCCAGGAAATCAACTAATAATAAAATCTCATGTTATTTCCCCAACCGCACCTGACTTCCGGGTTGCTTCTGATTGACAAGTTACCATAACAACAGGGCAGGAACTTCTGCCGATACCGCCATTGCTATGGCAACCTTCAATCAACATACTGTGCTGCGGAGTGACATTACTGCGCAAGTGAGAGATCGGGTGGTGCATTCTGGGTAGCCAACTGCAATGAATCCCAGAAGTAAACAGGAGCGGGCTTCAGATGCCCACATATACTATGGCCCCTGTCTGCCAACAAGAC